CTTTTCACCTCTCATGATGTGCCCCAAGTATTCCAATTTCCTGATTTTTATGGAATTTAAAACTTCGCATTGTTTTCCTAGTTGTTCGAGAACTTGTTCGTTTGTTTTGCGATCCATCCATGATATTTTCAAAATACGTCGGTAACACCACATTTCGAATGCTTCTAGGTTTTTAATGTTGGATTTTTTAAGTGTCCAAGCTTCAACTCCATACAAAAGGGTAGAGAAAATATAACATCGAAGCATTCTTATCCGGAGCGATATATTGATATCGCGATTACAAAAAAGTTTTCTCATTCTATTAAAAGTTGACCGCGCAATTTCAATGCGGCATCTTATTACTTTTGTCTGATCAGTATCTTCTGTGATCCATGCTCCAAGGTATTTGTACGAAGATATTTGTTCAATTTCTGTATTATCTAGTACTAGCTTAACTTTGATGTTTTGTGCTTTTGTAAATACCATGAACTTGGTTTTCTTCAAATTGATTTTTAGTCCATAATCGTTGCAATATATATTTAGTTGTTCAGCAAGGTGTTGCAGTTCTTCTAGTGTTCCTGCCCGATGGACGGTGTCGTCAGCATATCTTATGTTATTAAGTGGCTTACCGTTTATTATAAGGCCCTCACTGATCTTGGCAAGCGCTAATTCTGAGATGGCTAATTGAATAACAAGGGTGATAAAATACACCCTTGGCGGACACTACGGCGAATCTGGATATCCTTGGTCAGTTCGTTTTCAACTTTCACTTTTGCTGTTTGATTCCAATAGAGGTTACAGATGATTCTAATGTCTCTACTGTCTATGTTTTTATTTAATATAAAATAAATTTCTTTAAGTCGATTATGCTGCACTCTGTCAAATGCCTTCTCAAAATCAATGAAACAGGCATATACTTCCTGATTAATATCTAAGCATCTCTGCGAAAGAACACTTAATGCAAACAGTGCATCTCGTGTTCCCAGTCCTTTCCTAAATCCCATTTGTGTATTACTTATGCCTTCATCTAATTTCTTATGTATTCTATTGTGAATTACTTTTAAAAACAATTTCAAGACATGACTCATTAAGGCTATGGTGCGATGTTCATTGCACTCCTTTGCATTGGCTTTTTTGGGAAGCAGTATGAATGTTGATTGGAGCCATTCTTTAGGTATTATACCTGTTCTTTATATGGTATTGAATAGATCCAAAAGAAGATCAATAGATTCAGTATTCACAATTTTAAGTAATTCGATAGGAACTTCATCAGGCCGGGAGATTTACCACCTTTAGCTTGTTTCATTGCATATTCAATTTCTTCTCGTATAATGTCAGGCCCAGTATCATCCTTAAATTCTTTTGGTGCTTCTGTTCTCTCTTTGTCTTTAAAAGTGTGCTATATATTGTGTCCATCTCTGCATTTTTTGGTTTATATCTGTTATAAATGCACCCCTTTCATCTCTTAGTTGCCTAGTTTGAAGTGTTTTTCTCATTCCTGTTAATTCTCTAATTCTTTTATGCATGTTAAAAAGTCATATTTTTTCTCAATTTCTTCTAGTTCTTGGCACTGCTCATGTAACATTCTCTCCTTAGCTTCTTTTATTCTCTTTTTTATTAATCGATCAGTTTTATTATATTTAATTGGATTTTTTGTTTTGAATGATTTTCTTTCATTCATTAATAGTAGTATTTCTTCAGTCATCCAATCTTTATGTTTTCTATTCTTTGGTTTTAAGTTTTCATTTGCTGTTTTAATTATTGCTACTTTTATATTTTCCCATTTCTGATCAATGTTATATCTACTTTTATTCAGTTCTTGGGCATTACGTAGATTTTCAGTAAGAGATTTTACAGTTTGTTCCTTTGTTTGTCGTTTCCTTAATCTCTTAATATCAATTCTACTTTGTGTGGGTTTTTTAACCAGTTTTAATTTGGTTCGTAATGTGACTACTATGGGGTTATGGTCTGAACCGATGTCTGCTCCAGGGTAAGTTTTGGCAGACAGTATAGAATTACGAAATCTTTGTCTAATAAGGACAAAGTCAATTTGATTTCGGATTATTCTATTCGTTGTATCACCGGGAGATTTCCATGTATACAATCTTCTTTTTGGTAGCTTAAAAAGTGTATTATCTATTACAAATTCTTCCGTCTGGCAAAATTGTATCAAACGGTCACCACGTTCATTTCTATTTCCTAGACCATATTCCCCCACATATCCATCCACTCTTCCCTGGCCAACTTTGGCATTGAAGTCGCCCATTACTATTGTAGTGTGATGTTTTTTCATTGATTTTAAGACTTGTTTCAAATCATGGTAAAACAGTTTGATATCGTCGTCATCTTTATCTGCCGTAGGAGCATAAACTTGAATAAAATTTACTATACCTTTTTTAGACTGTAGTTGTATTGATAAGATCCTATCAGAATAAGGAGTAAAACTTACCACAGAGTAATTGACCTTTTTTGCAACTAAGATAGCAACACCATAACGATGATTGACCTCGTTGTTACCTGAATAATACATGGTTCCATTATTTGTAATTTGTTTGCCTGAACCTGGCCACTGTTCGTCACTTATACCTAAAACATCAATTTGGAGGTTTTCCATTTCAAGCAGTACGTTCGCTAATTTACCACTTGCATATAAACTTCTGACATTCCAGGTTGCTATTTTCAATGTCTTTTCACAGGGGTTTCTTTGGTTTACGACCTGGGAGGCCCTGTGATCTACAGTTATTCCTCCCCTGCCGGATCTTGGATTCCGTGCTCCATAATCAGTAAGTTTGTTTACTTTACTTGTCATTTGCCATTCATGACTTTACTACCATATTCACTACCATAGTTTAAATTAACAAACGCTGCCCAGGCTAATCCTATGCGACGTGGGAGCTCACATGTCTGGTTATTTCTGATCAACCGAATTCCATGCTCCAAGTACTTATACGATGGAGTCTGCACAATATTGCTGTCCCTTCCATCGACAGCAATATTTCGATCTACCACCAGATTAGTCATTATTTGCGTTTTGTTCATATTAATGTTTAGTCCGACCTCCAAGAAAGCGTGATATAATTTGTCAAACATTATTATTGCATTATACATACCATCGGCTATAAGGACGATGTCATCTTCAAACCTCAAATGTCTGAGCTTTATATTGATACCATGCTCGTTCAGATCGGCCTTCTTGCAAATATGTTCTAAAAGTGTCGTGAATAGCTTTGGAGGGACTGTGTCTCCTTGCTGTACTTCTCGCTGTACACAGAATTTATTTGCTTCTTATTCAGATAGTCTTACGCTAGCTATGGCATTTTGGTAGATATATTTGTCTATATTTCTTCTTCTTCTTCAAGTGCCGTCTTCGTTCCGAAGTTTGGCTATCATCAAAGCTATGCGTATTTTTGATGCTGCAGATCTAAACAGTTGGTAATTGGTGCAATTGTACCATTCTCTCAAGTTTTTCAACCATGAATGCCTTCTTCTTCCTATAGATCTCTTTCCCATTATCTTTCCCTGTATAATCAATTGCAGCAACTGGTATTTATCTCCCCTCATAACATGTCCCAAATATTGTAGTTTGCGCTTTTTAACAGTAAGTATCAGCTCTTTCTTTCTTTCTTTATAGTCTATTCGGCATTCTGTTAATACTTATAACATTTTCTGATGGCTTATGGTATCGAATGCTGCCACATATATCAGTGCCAATGGTTTGTTATATTCTTGAGACTTCTATATCAGGTTTATCTAAATCCAGCTTGTTCGTTAGGCTGATATAAGTCTAAAAGTTTCTATATGTGTAAGAGCAAACTGATCAGACGTTTCTTTTCAATATTTTCTATCTCCTTGTTTGTGTAATAAAACAATGACTGCATTAAAATGACATTTATATTACTCCATTGTATTTATATATTATTTGGTTTACCTTTACACAATTTGTTCCATTTATTTATATATCTTTTTCTTCTCTTTTTCACGGATGTGCTTTTTTAATAGTTTGTTATCTTTAAAGTTAATTATAATTCACCCAAAAGAGTTTTACAAACTTCTTAATTCTGGTAATACTGGTGCCTTTTTCCCAGTTACTAACGAACTTATTTGTTCTACAGTTTTACCAACTTTTGGTGAATTTTTGGCAATGAACCGTTCGGAGAACGAAAATTCTCCGAAAACGGAGAACTTTTGACGCAAAGTTGTTAAGTATTACGTAAAAAAAATAATTTCATTTGTAACACTGACATCTAAGAAATTAGCCGAAAATGTTTCATTTTTATTTAAGGAATTACATTGCTCTTGAAAAAAGTACAAATTTTTCAAATAACTTTATTTTAAATACCAAAAATATATTTTATTTAAAATTTACTCACAGAAAAGTTTAGTATTTGAATAAGATTTTCAGCTAAAAATATTGAAAATTGTCGATTTTTTCCTGCAGTTTTCCTTGTCCAACCTTTTTTGCGGTAAGCAGAATATTTCAGTGCGGGTTCATCTGAATTCAAAAATTTTAAAATTTTATTAGAGTTTGTCCTTATTTTTCAATCCCTTCGTTTAATCCCTTTGGAATTGAACTGAAGCAATTGAAAAAAAAAATTAATTAAAATTTTGAAAAACTGAATGAATTTTCGTATTATATTTTTAAGCATTTTTCCAATTATTCTCATCGTTTTTAAATATTTTTTTCGTATAAAACAAAAACGAGTCGGAATCGAAAATCACGAAACAATAGTAAAAAGATGAACTGTGCAACGTCCAAACCAGGCGGTATTCATATCTCTATAACTCCGGTAATATTGCTCGAAACTACTTCAAATTTGGTGTGAATACTTTTGAAATACAATGCTTTCGTATGCAATCAATTTGATTTTTATTAATTTTTTAAAAATGCAAAACCTATGTAATCTCTTAATGTTGTATGTCTGGACAACCATGTTCTGTTTTGCAATTTTTCTATATGTCTCCATTATCTATAAAATTAAATGTTTATATGAACTAAAAACCTAAAGTTTTGTTTGTTACAGCTCTCAACATCATTATGTCGAAGAAAAATATAGCGGAACAGGAAATAAAGATCAAGGATTCCCTATTTGAATTTGTTAAATCCCACATTCCAGATGCGGATTTGAGTTTAATCGATGAAATCGTTTTATCTTATGTTATTTCCGTACTGGAGGAGGTGGGATCTGATCCTGTTTTTGATGTAGAAGGTAAGTTTGTAGAGCAGTCATGTCAAACTGTATGTCACTGGTGTACCAAAAGTTATTAAAACCGTAGACTAGGAACGCCGCGAAACCTGCCATTATAAGACAAGTATATATAATAATTTTCTAAAAAAGGGGCATTACAAAAAACACTAACTTCTGGTTCAATATATTTGACATCTTTTGTCTTTAATTAATTGTCACCCCCTCTGTGGCTCAGTGGTAAGAGCGCCTACCTTTAAATCTAAAGGTCGTGAGTTCGAATCTCACCTGGGTGGAAATTTTCGTTTATTAAAAATTAATGAATGGAAATAATTTCTATCCTTGTGCGATCGGTACTCATCAGAGGGACCGCAGACGTTCGGATACAATTAGCGTCTCTTAGCAAAGACAATGACGTCGACTTTGCTAAGTATCAAGACAATTACTCTACATACACACACACTACACTAGGTACCTGACTGTACCATGCCAATGATCATAGTTGTCGAGGCATTAACTCAATAAAAAAAAAAAAATTAATTGTCTATTTGTGGCGTAAATTAATCGTTAAAACTAAGTTTTAAATCTATGTCCAAGTGTGGGTCTGCCAGTCGCAATCTTGCCTTTCATGAAAGAAAATAATTGTTCACACTTATAGGTATGTACTTCGAAACATTGAAAAGATTTAACATGCAATTTTTGAAGTGAATACTTCTTATTGCTCTATAACATATTTTTTACGGGCTCGAAATCATATTTAGCGTGCCTATATTGCGGTACACAGTACATAATACAGGGTGTCCAAAAAATCTCTTGACAAACGAAGACCGGAGATTCCTCAGATTATTTTAAGACAATTTAACCCAATTTACCTACTCCTAAGGGAGCTAGAACTCTTTAAAGATGGCTGCTTGCAATTACTTTTTTTTTAAATAACTTCAGAACGCCGCTATTTAGAAAAACAAAAACTGGTATGATTATTTATCCACTAGAGTTGAATCGATTCCGTTAATTGCTAGTTTCTAGTAGTAGTAGAATAGTTTCTAGTAGGTCATAGATGTCCGTTTTTGGGTAGGTCAATGGTTATTCAAATGGTCAATGGTCAAAGACTACAGTACTGTCTATTGTACCACTTTTTTGTTTGTTAAAATATTAGCTATAGGCTCAAAAACTTGGGAGTTCTAAAGCATTGTGCATTTAGAATATCTTCTTCTTAGGGTGCCTGTTCGTTCTGAACGTTAGCGATTATTTTGGCTATGATGACTTTGTTGGTTGCTATACGGAATAGCCGTGTTGGATCTTTCTGTACCATACTCTAAGGTTAGCAAGTCAGGATATCATTACGTTGATTTCTCATTATATGTCCCAAGTACTGCAGCTTACGGCCCTTTACGATGTTGACCAAATCCGGAGTTGTGTTTATCCTCAGTAGTACTTACTTCTTCATTGGTGAGTTTGTCTGTCCATGGTATCTTCACGATCCTTCTGTATAACCATACCTCAAAAGCCTGAGGTTTTGATAGAGTTTCCGCCTTTAATGTCCACGTTTCTACTCCGTACAGAAGCACTGAGTACAAGTAACATTTAAGGAGCCTTATTTTTGTTTCTAGGGTGAAGTCATGGCTGTTTAACATAGAGCTCATAGTCAAATCATTAGCTTGGTTTTGCCGGTGTTTATATCTAGTCCATATGGTCTACTTATTTCCGTTCTTTTGTTCATTGAGTTTTACAGCCCTTAGGATGTTGGAAAACACTATTGTTTCATCTGCATACCGCAGGTTATTGAGCTTGACTTCATTTATTGAGATGCCTTCATCAATATCTTTTAGAGCCTTTTCAAAAATGTGTTCCGAGTACAGATTAAATATCAGTGGTGAAATTATGTACCCCTGTCTCACTCTCCTTAAGATTTTGACCTGATCTGTATATTCTCTATCTATTCGGAGCAACACTGATTGATTCCAATACAGATTAGCTATTATTTTTAGGTCTTTTTCGTCAATCCCTGTTCACTTCAGCACTTTCATCATTTGTTCATGCCTGACTCTATAGAAAGCCTTCTTGTAGTCAATCAGGCATGCAAAAACATCACAACTGACATCTACATTTCTGAAATGATATCTGCATGCTTAATAAAGTTTCCCTCTTACCAACGCCGTTCACAAATCCAAATCCACGTAAATTCTTGTGTGGATGAGTTTTAAAAACAGCTTCAGCAGATGGCTCATTAGGCTTATGCTTCACAAACTTTTGCTTCCGATTTTTTGGGCAATGGTACGAACTTCAATTTGAGCCACTTACTGGTATTTTTCCTGCCTTGTCTATTTCATTACATCTTTCAGTTATTATTTTTATTTGTTCTGCAACTAATAGCTTTAGCAGTTCTGCAGGAATTTCATCAAGTCCCGATGTCTTTTCATCCTTCATTTGTCTGACGGCTGCCGTTATTTCTCCTGGTAGGGTTTCGGGACCTGAATTTTCTTTAATGGTGTGTTCTTGTATTGTTCTAAGGCCGTGGAAATGTTTCTCAGAGTATTCTTTCCATATTTTCCTTTTAGCTTCTTTGGTTATGGCACAATTGCTTTCATCATCTATTATTTTTCCGCTGTTGCGTTTTCGAAACTTTCCAGCTATTTCCTTCACATTTGGATGGACATTGAAGTTATATCGACTCTGATACTTCTCTATTTCTTGACATTGTTCTGTTTTTTTTTTCTGTGATCCATAAGTTCAAGTATTTCATCGGTCATCCACGATTTCCGTTTCTTTGTATCCTTCCATATATATATATATATATTATATATATATATATATATATATATATATATATATATATATATATATATATAGATATTAAACGAGTTTATTACAGCTGCCGCCGTTTCTCGCAACCTAGCTTTCAACGCTTGCGATCGTTCCAGTCATCTACTTGTAGGCCCCTATCTTCCATTGCACCTTCTCTTCTCGTCTCCACGATCTTCTTGGTCTTCCCTTTTTCCTACGGTTGGTGGGGATCCACTGTAACATTCTCTTTGGCCATCGTTGATCATTCATCCTTTCTACATGGCCATACCATTTCAACCTTTTGCATTCTATAGTTTCCAGGATGTCAATGTCTATGCCCATACGCTCTCTGATTTCAGTATTCCTTACTCTATCTCTTCTAGTAAGTTGGCAACATCTTCTCCAATAATTCATTTCCATTGCTTTTATTTTGGAGGCGTCATTTTTATTTATTACCCAAAGCTCTGAACCATATGTAGCAATACTTTCTATGATACTTTTATATATCCTAATTTTTGTGTTTCGGCTGAATTTCCTTGACCAATTCTAGTAGCTATTTCTTTTGTATTCCGACCATTGTTTGTAATGTTTACACCGAGATATTTATAGCTATCAGTATTTTGAATTTGTTTGCTTCCTAGTTCTAAGTGCTTTCCTTCACCTCCCACTACTACGTACTCTGTTTTTGATGGATTAATTGATAAGCCCTTTTTTTCTTTGTATGTTTGTAAGATCTTTGTATCTTTCTTCAGGTGTTATTATTTTATTTCTCTCACTGTTTCTTGTATGATGGTCAGACTTTCCGTTTCTGCATTTTTGCATTTTAGCACCTTTGTATTGAGTTTTTCACTCACCTTCAGTCGGGACATTGGGATCTTAGAATATATAAACACGTAATATTCAAACCTCCTCTTGTATTTGACGGGATATTTCTGGTGCTTTTATTTTTATAGTTATAAAGGGTTTGTCCTAATCCTGTGTTTGAGTCAAATCAGCTTTAATGTTCCATATTTAGGCTTGCTTTACAATTCTACCTTTAGAATTACTTTCCATAGGACATCTTATGGATATATTAATCCATATTGGACAGATAGATGAGGTTGTTAAATACCACTTATGTAGACTTAATTAAAATAATACTTAAGCAGCTAATGAAATCAATATAACATAAATGGGATAGATTGCGATTATAGGTTATTTATTATAAGTTAATTATCTGTTAATATTTTGTTTTATGTTCTACTGGATGTATACTCTTATGTTTTTAAATTTTTATATCATAACTTGTTTTATTTTATTAGTTCAGTTAAAATGTATTTTTGCTAGGAAAGTTTTGGGGTAGTTCTGATTTTTTTCATTCCATGTGTTTTTTGGGGTGCTTAATCCGAATCTGGGGTTTGCTGACAAAATTTCGTGACGCAACATTAAAAAAAAACAGAATAAACCGTTTTTTTTTTTTCTTCTTTTTCGGGTTTTTTGCTTAAAACTCGAAAACTATCAACTTTTGTTGTTGTACAAATACCAGTATTTAGTTTTTTTTTCAGACGAATCGTTCGCTTTCTAGTGCTAGTTGAAAATTGTAAATTTTTAGCATTTTATGAAACGAAACCTAAGCCTAAAGCTGAAAATACGAACGCTTAAATGTTGTGTTTTCTCGGTCCTGTTATATGGGGTGGAGGCGTGGACACTAAATAAGCAATGTATGGGTAAGCTGGAGGCATTTGAGATGTTGGCGTACCAAGAATGTTAAAAATCTCCTGGAAGGATAAGATAACTAACCAAGTTGTATTAGACAGGATGAACAAACAAAAGGAGGTCGTATTGAGTGTTAAAATGAGGAAACTACAATACCTGGGACATATTAAACGTGGGAATAAATATCAACTGTTACAACTAATTATGCAAGGAAAGATTGAAGGTAGGCGCAGCATAGGTAGGAGAAGAATGTCATGGTTGAGAAACCTCAGGGAGTGGTTTGCTTGCACTTCCATACAATTGTTCCGAGCGGCAGCCTCCAGGGTCAAAATTGCCATGATGATAGCCAACCTTCGTAGCGGAGATGGCACGTGAAGAAGAAGAAGCATTTTATGCAAAACCCACTTTTTACATTTCAATATTTAATTTTTATGGATGCTGTCATTTGATAAATGTCACCTAGTTTTCCACACAAGTAATTAAAAAGAAAAAAGGGAAAAATTATGCAAATTCAGTAGGTAGGTAGAACTCGGAACAAAATCAAA